AGGCTGGACCCTTTTCCGTTCTGCAATCATGAGCCATTAAGATCTACAGAAGATTAAAAAAGAAAAAAAAAAAAAAAAGAAACGTGTTCCTTTAATTAAAATGGTCCATTCTTAGCCCAACATAGCTAGCAAATTCATTTGACTTCGATAAACTCTTGCAGGTTATTGATCCCGACAGTTTGTGGGCGTGCAAATTAATCATGCTCATGTATTTAGTTATGGAGTGGATGCATTCGCCAAACGAAAAGAATTGTTTTATAATTTAAACTGTTTTACAGTAGGCTCTTTGCTAAATACGGTGCTACCTAATTGGTTCATTTTGTGTTATTTCATGATATTCTTGCTTTCTTTAGCACTTTTTGTTACGCATAATAGAAGCTAATCTGTCCTGTGTCTTTTGTTTTTCTTCTTTTTTTTTTTTTATTTTCTTTTTCCTCGAACTGATTTTTTCACCTCGGAACAATTTTTTTTTTTTTAACAATCTTAAGAATATATTCCTATATCAATTTAGTATATTTAAAAAAATTAATTTTCTTTAATATTATCCCAAGATTTATTTTAAACTTAATTTATAAGATAACATTTATTTACTAATAAATTTATCTTTAAAGTCGTGTTTATGTTTAACCTCTAAAGCTTAACCATTCTCCTAAATCAGTCCATCATAATAAGGTTCATATTTTATAAGATAAATTATGTTTTAAAAATACATTATGTTTTATAAATTTATTAAGATATTTTTAATAAAATAATATAAAAAATAATTTTATTAAAAATATTTTAGTATATTCATAACATAAAGTATATTTAATATGCAATTTATCTTATAAAACACTGTTTTTTGTTTTAATAACAAACTTCCAACTCTAAAACAGAGCATTATTGTTTTGTACCAAAAAAAGAGCATTATTGTTTTTATAATGATCGATTCAATTGCTATAGATGCAAATCTGCTAATATCTCTCAATGCATATAACATTAAATTCAACCTGAACCCGACGCAGTCCTCAGCCGTTGGCCAGATCTCTATTTCTTCCCTCCATTCAAATTTTAAACATCCCCAGCAAATCAATTTTTTAACACCATTCCTAACACTAATTAATTTCCCCCATTTTTATCAGCTCGAACCGTTGCTCTGTGATGTCAAACAGACGGAGTCCTCCTGGAAAATTGACGTATTGTTATTGCATTTGCATCCTTTTCAAAAACCCATTAAAGCCCTCTGTCTTATTAATTGCACCACCCAATACCACTTCTGCGTTCTGTCTTATTTACCGAAATAGAGACTCAAATTCTGCACTGTTAGTCTTCTACTCCCAAATCCCAATTGCAGAACAACCCCTTTTTTCAAAAGCTGTGAGATCTTCTGCAGAGATACTGAGTCACAAGAAGATCAATACCGCACAGGGAGATCTTTCTCTTCACCCAAACAGAGAAAGAGAAGCTTCAGCCTTTCATTTCTTTGACTTCTTATGGACAAGGGGTACCTATAAAAACCCAATCTTTTGTTTCTCTTTGAGTTAATGCAAAATTGTTGTGCCCTTTATGTGGCTTTGTGCAGAAATCGGAAAAAGGGTTTTGCTTGTTTGAGGTTTTGTTTAAAAAAATCCAAGATTTAATGGAAAGGAATGTGGGTGTTTTTTTTTTCTTTTCTTTTTGACGGCTTTATTTCATTTGTTTTGTAGCTCACGTTGCTCCAAAAAGTTGGAGAGAGAGACTTGAGAGGGAGAAGAACAGGCGCTTCTTTTGAATTTTGAGAAGGTGATAAAGGTTTGTTTTCTTGTCTGTGCTACCATATGCATTGTTTGTCTCTAATTCTTGTTCTGTTTCTGTATTGAATTTTTGAAACCCAAATGTAAATTGTACTAATCATGTATCTGTATCTTTCTGTGACATCTTTGTTTGTCATGTTATGCAGTTTTTCACGAGGTAGTGTCAGATTTTTTCTGTTCAAAAACTCTGTAAAAAATTCTCAGTATTTTTAAGGTTTTGATGCCTTTTTGTTTAATTTTACTGTTCACTTCCCTTCTCTACTTGCAATCTGTAAAGATTCTAGAGATCTTGCAGAACTTTTTCGCTCACTAAACTCCACCTGGGTCTTTGATTTTTGCAGAGTTTTCAAATTCATTTTATACCCTTTTCTAGTATCTCTTGATTTCACTCCCTTTTGAAAGCCCCTGTCTCAACTTTTTATTACTAAAAAGTAAACCCCCACTTGGGTATTTGATTCAGTGCTTGGGAGAGAACGAGATAGGAATGCATCTGGTTTTCTGAGATTTTCTCTGACACCAAACACTACTCTCACTCTCTTTCTCTCTGTTTTTTTGCTGCTTCAAAATCGTTAGAGAGATGGGGAAGGCTACAAGGTGGCTAAGGGGATTGTTGGGTATGAAAAAGGAGAAAGTAAAGGAACAGAGGGAGAATCCAAATTCAGTTTACAATGACAAGAAGGAAAAGAAAAGATGGAGTTTTGTCAAGTCCGGAAAGGACAGCAATGCCCTGTCTCAAATTCCAGTCAACATTCCCGGGAACATTCCGGTCGCTGAAGCAGACTGGTTGAGATCCTACCTTGCTCAGAGCGAGAAGGACCAGAACAAGCATGCGATTGCGGTGGCAGCAGCCACTGCAGCTGCAGCTGATGCCGCAGTTGCAGCAGCGCAGGCGGCTGTGGCCGTGGTGAGACTGACCAGCAATGGAAGAGGCCTCAGTCTGTTTAGTGGAGGAAGAGAGAGGTGGGCCGCCGTGAAAATTCAAACCGTTTTTAGAGGCTATTTGGTAAGCATGTAGTTCCATAGATTTTTCCCCTTTCCTCTCATGTTCTTTGTCGGTATATTCTGTTATTTTGCAGTACTTATTTTTGCCACTGTTTTGTTAGTATTGTTTCTAGGCATATCTTATGTTGTCTTGTATTTGGCTTTTTCTTATGGAAGATTGGAAGTACTTGACTTGTTTCACTCTTCTGTGTCTTCTGTTCCAAAAAGTTGGATTCATAGATTCAAATGGTAATGAAACAGTACATATGTTTTCCTGTTAGGGCCAGTGAATGCTACCCACATTTTCATTTTTTCAACTTTAACCTAACTTTGCTTGGAAATTTAACTATATTTCTTGGTTTATGTTTTCTAAAAATGCTTTTCCTCCTCAATCTTCGCTTCTATGTTTGATCTAAAGCTTGAAAGGCTTGGATTCAAACACAATGGAACAGGTGTGCTTTCTTTTGTCTATGTAATGGTACTTGCTTCTTCTGTTTTCAACTTTCCTTTTGACTTTACCAATTTTTTCAGCTTCTTATCCTTTTTAAGATTTGAACTTTTGTAGTAATTCCAACCTTCTAAAGTAGAGTATTAATTAGTTTCTGATGTTTCCTTCATTGGTTTGTTTTTGAATGTTTTGACCATGCAAAACTATGTAAGTTTCTACAGATTCCCCTTTGTTTCCATGGAAGAAGCTCTGGAATCTGATTTGTTTCAAATTTTCAGGCCAGAAAAGCACTTCGAGCTTTAAAAGGACTAGTCCGGTTACAAGCTCTCGTCAGAGGTTATCTTGTTCGAAAACGGGCAGCCGCAACACTTCATAGCATGCAAGCTCTAATAAGAGCACAAACAGCCGCCCGATCACAGAGGATTCGCCGATCTTTCAGCAAAGAGAACCGGTATCAACCTGAAATTCGAGCCCGGAAATCCGTTGTAAGAAACTAATAAGCAATTCCAATAGTTTTGTGTAGTACTCAATTGAAATAAGTGATTAATTAGTAATTCTCTTTTAATGTTTGCTTTTAGGAGAGATTTGATGATACTAGAAGTGAGATTCAGAGTAAGAGGTATTCAGCATCAGTTGAATATGATGACAGTCCAAAAGTAGTCGAAATTGACACGTACAAGCCCAGATCAAGATCTCGCCGGATGAATGTTGACTTATCAGAATATGGCGATGATTTGCCATACCAAACCACCTCATCGCCGCTTCCATGCCCGGTTCCAACTGGAATTTCAGTTCCCAGTTGCCAAAACTTTCATGATTTTGAGTGGTGCTTCACGGGTGATGAATGCAAGTTTTCCACTGCTCAGAGCACCCCTCGGTTTGCCAATTCTGGCAGGTACTCCAATGCTCCTGTCACCCCTTCCAAGAGTGTCTACGGAGACAGCTACTTCAGACCTTATTCCAACTTCCCTAACTACATGGCCAACACGCAGTCCTTCAACGCCAAGTCAAGGTCTCTTAGTGCCCCAAAACAGAGGCCAGAGCCAGGGGCAAAGAAGAGCCTTTCCCTGAATGAAATAATGGCATCAAGAAACAGCATAAGCGGACTTAGGATGCAGCAGTCGTGTTCTCAAGTTCAAGAAGTTTTGAACTTTTGAGAATTAAGTTTATGAAATGTCCTCTGTATTTGAGTGAGAAATTGCTACTTGACTATGGAAGTTGAAAAAGAAGCAAAACAGAGAGTTTCTACAACTTTTCTTTTCCACTTTTAGTGTGAACAAGCTATAGGATAGAACAGAATGCTTGTGTAAAATTCTTTGTTGTTATTATCTTACTGCGCTTTGACAATTAAAATGAAGCCTTCACATTTTTAGTTTTCTTTCATTCTTGTGTGCATTGAACCGTGAGCAATACATGATAGTGTCATCTAAAAATCTTCCGAATAATAGAGTGCTGTGTGTGCACATTCATTTTTCTCTAAGAAAACGATGTTTTGCAGTGTGTAATTCAGTCTGTATCGGATTGTAACATGGTGTTTGGGATGGTAATTACATAATGTGAAAAGTTGAACTTTTTTGAAGTGCCTCTTGAATTGAAGGTTCCATGAAGGTTCATATAAACTTCAAAATCGAATAAAGGGGCGGTGAGTGAGTCAGAACAGTTGGCACTTGGCATTGGAGGGCACATGAGCAGGAGCGCTTTTAGAGATGCGCTCAATGTGGGAGAAAGATGGGTTAAATTGTTTTTTTGTATTTCGTTTGTAGAGGCCCAAAAAATACACATCTTTAGTGAATTAAGTTCTATGGATAATCGATCAGATAATTTTGTTTAAAGATTTCAACTTTACTCTCCTTGCTAGAATTCTTTCCCTTCCCTTTAAATCTTCCTATCACGTTGATGGCAGATGCCGCCTTTTTGGCTGTGACATGAATTTTTTTGGCTTTTAAGTTAAAATATTTTAATTCTATTCAACATAAAATTATTACAAAATTATTAACTCAATAATAACAAACCACACTTTTTTTTTCTCAAATGACATTAGAGATTATATTTTAACATAATTCTATTTTGCAGTTTGTCATATATGTGAAATGTACTTTTATTTTTTTGATATTTTAATATATCAAAAATGAGTAAATTAATGATAAAAAAATTTTCACATTTAACTTCAAACACAAAATTAGTTTCAATGAAGTACTATTTCTAGCCCCAAAGAAAGAAAGAAAGAAAGAAAAACTTTAAATCTAAAATCATACCCACCCATCACACTGTAACAGGGCCGTTTTTACACCTCCGGACCATTCAAGTGATTGGTACACCATATGCCTAAATCAAAATGAGACTAGGCACCGCAGAGAATTGGAGGGAGTAGAATGTTTCTACTAGAAACTTGAATTGAGAATGAAATGCAATGCTTACTTATTGGTAATTAATGATTGGTACTGGATTAGATTGATGAGTTTGGGTTTCTTCTTTGAAAATGGTGCGTAGGGTCGGACTGAATCATCTTGGCTCGCCCTCGCCCCCACAAACATGCTTTCAAATTTTTCCTTTTGGGTAAAAGGCAGAGAATTGTGCGTATTAGGGGCAATTTTGATAACTGTGCATGCAGTCTTTGACAGTCTGACTGGTATCTACCTGCGCCTTACATTTTCCATACAGCCATAAAGGGCCTTTGTTTGATTTTTGGGAAGAAAAAAAAAAGGGGAATTAGGCGCGCCCAGCCATTATGCACAATCCACACGGTTGTGACTTTGATATGATGATCCCGCGCTTGCCTTTTCTTCTCCAACTTTATTTTGTGTCTTTTTAATAAGTGCTTACATATTAAAAATAATTTATTATATATATTTAAAATTATTAATGTATATTTAGTTTAATATATATTTTTTAATATTTATTTAGTTCAATTATTAAAAATATAATATAAATATAGTTGATTTAATTACTTCGTATATTATTTATATATACTTATATTTTGAAATTTATTTATATTTAATTTTAAATTTAAAAATAATAATTTTTTAATTTAAAATAATATATTGTGTATTAAACTAAAATATATATTAATTATTGTCTTTTTTAATTATTAATTTAAATAAAAAAATTACAAAAATAAATTTTATTATATGAAACAATTTAATTAAATGATTAATAAAATTTAAATTAATTTTCATTTTTCAAAAAAATTAATAATAAAAAGTATAATAATTATACTTTTAAAGTACATATTAAAAAATCCTTTTTATTTTTTATCCCAATTAACTGTCCTCATAATTCAAACCTAAAAAGTAAAGGGGAAGTTAACGAACCTAAAAAGTTAATTTATCTTGGATAAACAAACAAAGCTCTCACTCAGCTTGAACATGACGAATGAACTGAAGTAAGTACATAAAACAGAAACATGTGGAAACAAACTTAAAAAATTACCATGTCTCTTCTGATTCAAACAGCTTCAAACCCACCCCCTTTTTTTTTTTTGGGAAATTCTCTTCGTACGGGGAAAGTCTCTAATTTGTTTGGTTAAGCGGCAATAGCTTTCGTCATCCTAATCGCTTTTCAAACATAAACTATGCTTAATGCATTAATTAATGCAAACCCTGGACCTTGTTTAATGGGCTGAAACTTCGACTTTTGAAAAATGGGGGCATTTCTATATTGTTTAAGCAAGCATAATTTGAAAGTTGTTTAGAAAGAGTACTAATTTTGTTATAAATAATTGTAACGGCACAGTTTGGATGTGATTATTGCTGTCTTTCTAGATTTTAATATTCAAACAAATCTAAAACTAAAAGGTTACATTGCACTAGCTCCCTCCCTAGTCAACTACTCGGTGGAGTCAATATATTCTGCATTAATTGTATATGGCTAGCTAATAGTAAAAGAGGTGAGTTTGAATCGAGTTTAAAATAGAAAAGTTTCATCAAATAAACATTTAAAGAAAAATAATGTCACATGCTTGGTAATTAGGATTTCTAATGGTGGGGCAACTGGTTGAGATTCAAACACAACAATAGTACAGACTTTCTTTCCCCTTCCTATCTGTAAATGCAAAAATTATCTTATTTCAACCATGTGCGCATCACTTTTGAACAGAGAGGAAATGGACAATTGTTTTGTTTAGAGATTAGGGTTCTTGGAAGGATAGACATAGGCAGATATAGACATAGACAGAGTGGATGGGGTAAAATCTAAATAATGGTTTTAATTAGTATTTGCTTAGTAGGGCTATCATCTCATGTGCTAAGCACAATCGTCGGGCCTTATATATGTCCAAGGTTTTATATTTTGAATCCTCAAATCCAGTCTAGATATTTAAGGCGTAAATGCAATCAAATAATGGTTGCACCGTTGATTTTTTTTTTATTGGTCCGTTGATGATTAATTAAAAACTTTATATATACATGCAAAGAGTGAAAATTTATTTAAATACAAGTTTTATATATCGTAATTATATAAATTTTTAATTTTTAATTTTTAATTATTGAGATTTATTCTGATTTTTTAGATAAAAATTATAATTATCTTTAATAAATATAATAAATAAATCTTAATTATTAAAAATAAAAAAATTAAAAATTAAAATTTTATATAAATATAATGTGTAAAACTTATATAGAATATGCAAAATTGTTATAGAGCAAACGACCTCAAAAGCTACGTAATTTATCTTAAAAGAAAAAAAGTTAGGTAATTTAATAAAGAAATAATGTTTATTTACCTTATCTCTTAAAGATTAAGAGGAATATTATTTTAAAATTATGTTATTTTAATAAACACTTATTGAAAAATTAAAATATTTTATTTTTAAAATATGAATTAAGATATTTTTTGATTTTTTTTTCTTTTTAATTTTTTAAAAGTAGAAGGACAAATACTAATCTCATTTTAATAATAAGCCTCATTTATAAAAGGACAATATTTGGGCCTTAAGTTCCAATATAAGCCCATTATTATTGGATTTGGACCGGGAATTGTTTATTTTAAAGAAAACTTCTGCTTGTCCCTTGTGATTCATAGAAAATGTACTTAATCCCCAATATTGTGAAAAAGTTACAACCCACCCCACCCCACAACAAAAAATGGTGCCTAACTCTGCCAAATCGCTAAGGCAATATCAAGCCTTCTAGAACAAGAGTTCCCTTGTCCTCCTCTTTTTTACCAATAGTTACAAAATTTGGCTGTAGTAATTATAAGAATCTATAATAAACTCATGAGCAGTTGTGATATTTAATTAGATATATAATCTCTATTTATTTTGATCATTTCAAACAATTAATAGCTAATAATGGATATCCAATTATTGATATTAATTATTATCTATAATTTAAACATTATCAATCATTATATATTTCTATCAGTATAAACTGTTTGCAATAGTTAATTCAGACAGATTTGGACCTGTTTAGATTCTTTGGAGAGTAGAGAGGCATTTTTCAATTAACTTTCTAAAAATTTACTTGTAATGGTCCATTGCTCACTAAATAAGCCCACCCCAGTTAAGTTGGGCCCTTGACCACGACGCTGCCAAGTGCCAACGGTCGAAACGAGAAATTCAAATTTTCTGACCCGACTTGCCAACGGTCGAAATGAGCAATTAAAATTTTCAGATCCGGCTCCCTAACGGTCATCTTGTCACTCTGCTCACTCTCATATTTTCTCTCCCTCCAAAACTGGAACCAAGATTAATTTTTTCTTCGCAAAAGAGAAAGAAAACACTCTCCCATTCTCAGAATCTTGAACGAAAATCGATCAATGGACGCCCCGGAGGAGAATCCCTCATCATCAACGCCTTCTCGACAATCGGCAACATCCAGAGGTAAGCCTCTCTTGCTTTTCTATCTGCTTGTTTCCCAAGAAAATACAATAGAATCAAAGAAATTGCACTTAGAAACTAGAATGTGGTTTCAATTGAGGTTTTCTGTTTTTGGCCTGAAGCAAGAATAAGGTCTCAATTGAGGTTGTTTTTCTATTTTTTTTTTCCTCAAATTAGGCCTCTAAATTTTATCAGCAACCAAAAGAGATGGAATTATGCATGTTATTATCTTCCATTCCTTGATTTGCTTTTTGTTTACGAATTTTACCAAGGAAGGTTGTTTCTTTATAGGTAAAGATACGGATGAGAATGATCAAGAAATGGGTTTCAGTTTCCAAAACCCTAGGAAATCAACGGCGAAGAATTTCATGTCACCGACGATTTCTGCAGCTTCTAAGGCTGCGCTTCCTAAGAAGAAAGTCCTTACCGAAAGGAATCAATCTCCCGCATCAAATATCTCCGGAGCCCATCCCCCTAAAACCCCAATTTCTGATTCAAAAGTCCGGCAGAAAACCCAAACCCTGGAACAAAGTTTTCCGGAGAAGACCCAAGATTCTGATTCTAGAGCAACTTCTAAGAATCAGGATGCTGATTGTTCCAAGGAAGAATCTTTGCATCGAGCAACACCATTGTCGTCACCGGGGGATAAATCTGCTAGCAAGGAGGAATTGTCTGGGAGGCCTTATGATCCATCGTCGAATTATCTTTCACCCAGGCCTCAATTCCTAAGATACAATCCAAATAGACGCATTGAAATTTTTCAGCGTCTAAAAGTGGAGGCTGAAGAAGAAGATGATGGGGTGATTTTCAGTAGCAGTGAAATTGAGTCCAAGAAGGAAAGTGATGAGCAAGATGGTTTGATTAATAGCAATAGTTCTGTGGTTTCTTCAACAGAATGTCATTTGGAGCTGGAAAATGAAGAGTATGATGAAACTGAAGATGATTTTGAAGAAGTAGAGGAGGAGAAAGGTTGGAGTTTGAGAGGTATATTGCAATTTCTCCTTGTGTCGGTTGTTTTGGTGCTTTCTACCTCATATATTTCTTCCATGAATTCTCCAACACAGTCACCAGATTCACATGCGTTTAAGAGTCTCAGAGATGGCTATGACAAGTTTCAAACTCATTTGTATGACATTCTCTTGAGTCTGGATGGTGGGTATCATATTGTTGACGAAGGAGCACAAATGGGTCTGCTAGGCTTAAACCACACGGTTCAAGATGAGGAGATGACTGAAAATGGTGATGTAGGGAAAGTAGTTAGCATGAATGTGATAACCAGAGTGTTTGGCCTGGATGATGGAGGTATGGGATCCATGGAAGTGGTTGAGGATGTAAAGCAAGAGGGAGAAAGTGAAGATGTATGTGAAATTGCATTGGAAGAAAAAAGTGACCAGATTCTTGAGGACATTGAATTACCGGAAAAGGAAGCAGGAGAAAATAATGAATATCCGCAGATTGTTGGGGACATAAAGAAAGATAGCCAAAGTGAAGATTGGGAGGTTTCATTAGTGGCAACAGGTGAGGTTTCTGATGAGATTGTCAAGGACATTGAGCTGCTGGCAAAAGAACCTGGAGAAAAGGAGGAACGTCTAGAGATGGTTGAACATGTAAAAGACGACATTGTGTCACAGGAAGCAGAAGCTGCAGGAAACAATGAACCTGTACAGGTTGATCAGACGTTACTTTTCTTAGATGGGGTTGATCAACAGTGTGATACAACAGATGCCTTGAAAAGGACGGTTGTGGTGGAGGCAGATGAAGAAATTCTCAACAATGAACCAAGAGAAGGGGATGCTGTTGATGGTGAAATTGGAAGAATCGATGATGTTACAGGCAGGGAAAGTGAGGTTGCTATTCCGGAAAAGAAGAATCCAGTAGAGGGCGGCATTATTCAGCAAACAGGAACTGAATTACTTGCTGAAGTTGCAATTGGGCTTTCAATATGTTGCGTGGTTGTTGCATCTCTGGTATCAGTAATTCATATCAAGATAAAGAAGAGAAAGATGACAAAGGATTCCTCCCCCTCTCCTGTTGATTTGCCTTCTGCTGAACCTGTGGTAGCCAAGGAATCAAGTTTAGTGCGTCCACATGAAAGAGAGGAGCATAGCATGCCTGGGAATTCTTTTGGAAATTCCACACCTTTGATTAACTCCATCAAGGAAGATTCTGAGGAGCCTTACCAAAACCGAGCACCAACAGTTCAGTTGCTTGGTGAATTTGATGTGGGAGAGATGAGCAGCTCGCTTAGGAGTTCTGGTTTCAAAAGCAGGGTAAAAGACAGTGAAGATGGAAGCTATTCTGTTTCAGCTCTAAAGAACAGGTTGGCTAGCAAGACTTCTTCAGCTTCAACTCATGCTCAACCAGAGTTCTCTACCACGATTTCCACTTCATATGGAAACTTCACTCCTGAAACCAAAATATTGAGGAAACAATCCAGAAACAATGACACGGTGTGCTCTACTTTTGAAGTATTATCTAACTGATTAGTTTTAAACTTTTAATATCTTCTAAAGTCATTTTAATTTGAAACTAGAATCTATTTTGTTTCATTTTCTGATTATATATTCAGACAAATCCTTGTTAATTTTCAATAATATTACTACATACAAAAGTATATTTTACTTCTGATTCTAGAATAGTTGTACTTTATATTGTGCTTTTCAATTCTTCATTCCAAAATAATCTGCTCTAAAACATTTTGAAACAATTTTTTCATTTCAACAGCAAGGAGAGGATGGAGAAGGGAGAGAAGGGGTCACTTCCTCTCTGAGGCGATCAGCTCGAATCCGCAATCGTGCAGTTTCATATTCGTAAAATCATCAAGACTGATCACTGTGAGAACCTATGAAATGAAACAGCATTCTCTGTTGTTACATGTTGGATCTCTTAACCCTTAACTTGTTTAGGATTTTGATGTAGAACTTCTTTAATTAGGAACTGCTTGCTGTAAGAACCTAATATCATTGCCTGAATGCATTTTATCAACTCTAGTTTCTCATTCTTCTCAATTTTTATTATTTTTTTCCTAGATATGCTTTTCTGGCTCTGGATTTCCATAATTATAGTCATAGCTAAGAAGTGGAGACTCCATAATCTCTCCATTTGAAGTAGATAATAACGTTTAAAAGGCCAAAAAAAGGTAGATAATGCTAGGAACAGAATCGGTATACATGATAATAATAAAAGATATGTAAAAGATGAAATTATGTGAAACTTATATGGAAGCAAAGGAGAAAAAGGGAATGTCATAAGACACAACACAATGTTATTATGGTATTAGAATACCAAGCTGTTGTTAATGATAACGCAAAAAATAATAATAATCTGCAATGCCGATGAATTTGCCTTTATCTTTATTAGCTCAGTGTTGTTAACTTGATGTCCTTATTTGCCACTAATAGAAGGTGGCATGTTTAATTGCACAATAGATAAAAGTTTTGTCCTTTGATGCTTTTACCTAATTTTTCGGTTGGGTGGTTAGGCAATAATTTTTCTGAACATGATCATGTAAATTTAATAAAACTCCCCTAGTGGTACTTCTGAAGCTGCTTCACTAAAACAAACAATTTTCCTCCATCCCAAATAAAGGATTTTCTCTTAAATCAATGAAGATAAGTTCTTCTGATCAATCCCTTAATTACAAATAATAAATTTTAGATATATACCTATACTTTGATATCCATGCTTTTTATGTTATTTAATTTGTGCTCTTAAGGGTGTATTGTATTTATGACACTTTTTATAATTAATTTATATGAAAATATAAATATTATTTTGAATTTTATTCAATTGATTAACTAAAATTATTTATGTGACAATAATATTAAAATAAAAATCAATTTTTATATTTCTTACAAAATTTTCTACCTTGTAAGATGCATATTAAAAATGTAATTAATATACTTTTTTATAATTAATTTAGATTAGATTTG